CGTCTGAGAGGAAGAAGTGTTGGGCAGTGAAAGGCTTGAGCGCGACGACGGAGAAGAAAGAAAGACATCTGGGGAAGAGATGGGAGGAAACGACGAGCATATAAACTCGTCCCCAGAATGCGGTACGACGCGGAGCTCCCACACAACAGGAAACCTTCCCCAAGGTGGGGGAAAGTGGAAGAGGTGTCACGGTGCTACCGCATGTTACCTGAGTTACCTAGCAGGACTTTTCGTGGTATCCGTATTCCGTAGGCGGGCCATGACAAGGCAACAAGGTTTCCTTTTCTGCAAAGGGGGGGTGTAATTGACCTCAAGTTCAGACAAACCATGTGGAGAGACGTCCAACAGGTCAGGATAGGGCCGATGGACGATCACGAGGTGATGTTGGGATGTGGAGGGAGGAAGAAGGAGAGTGTGGGTTGATCGTGGGCTTGCGGAACCCAGTACCAAGACATCGAGGCATACGAGCTGCAGGAAACCAAGTATTGGATACTTTGTCAAGTTGTGACGATCCCACGAGCGAGGTGGCAGGGGGAGGTAGACCATAAAAAAAACCAGAAACAATAAAACAGACTACGTTGGTGTATCCGCAGCCGTAAAGTCGCCAGTTTAGCCCGCCAGCTTTTCCCATGGGTCCCCCTCATCCCCCAGCAAATGCGAATGAGCCCCAGCAGGGGAATGGCCGGCGCTAGTCAGGTAAGAGGGTGTGCAGGAGAAGGGAGAGGGAGTGAGGGGGGAGACTCTATAGACTCTGGGGTAGCTCCGGTCGGTAGCAAGTGTTTCACAGCAATTGGATTCCTTCTCAGCGGCGTAATACGTAGGCGCATAGGTTGGTAGGTACCGTTAGAAATAGGAGACGCGGGCTGGCGGCAGATCTCTGCTCTACGCGTCTAGTCTACAGTACGACTTGGCCCAGTCAGGCAAGGTAAAGATATCCGAGGCTGGATTTAAAGCAACGGGAAGGGCACATGAGCAACGCCCCCAACGGTTCATCGGAGAAGCACTACAAGCCTACAAGGTAGGGCCAAGTCGACGTTGAACGGCGCGACCGACGTTGAATAGGTACAATGTGATTGTTTCCGCCCGATGGCATGGATACAGAGTGCGTGATCTTGGTAAAGTTGGGTGTGGTGGAAGAGTTTTTCTGGGTCACATCGAGTGGCATCGAGTGGCATCTCGTGCATCCCCGCGAGTCGTTCGCCCAAGACTTTGGCAAAGGTTTTCTGGAGAACTGGAGGACATGGAGAAGATGGAGAAAGGGCGGGGAGTTTGGAGATTGCCAGGGCGTTTGGGGCCTTTGGGCAGGGCGTGGGCCGTGGAGCAGCTTTTTCTGGTGAGATAAAACACGCCCCCCTCCCTTCTGATGATTGTGTTCTATTACGGTGTATGTCCGCAATCGTTCGATTCATTGTTGGTTTCCGTCTGTTTTTGGGTTCAACGTGGGCCTGGCATCGTGTAAGGTACCTATACGTCCATTTAGCTGGTACCAAACAGAGTGGATGAAGTGTTGTGTTTACAGAGTAGTGGCATTGCATCGCAACTATTGCCCTTGATGCTGATGGTACTGTATCCGTACGAAGTAGAGACTTGCAGACTCGGGGATTTGTGATCGGTCGAGGTACACTGCCCGAGGTACTCCGCAGTCCGTACATTGACGGATCGCTAATCAGGTACCAGGAGGCTTCAGCCATCAAGCATCGAGGTGGAGTTTGAACGTGCGAAATGTGGGCGAGAAGAAGACGATGAGAGCGAGAGAATGTGCGGTTTGCGGCTCGCCAGCCAGTGACGGCGTAGCTTGTAGGTACGTATTGCGTAGTGGAAGCGGGCTGGGGAAACTTGAAAGTTGTGTGGAGACCCCACAACGGTCACGCCGCGTCGCCCGCCCGAGGGCATCGCTTAGAGATACGTACTCTTTCTCAATATGGAGTGCTGTACTCTCGGCGATCCAATCAGCCAAGCAGATCGCCTGAGCTTGGAAGGAAACAAGCAACGGCCAAGGAAGTCGCAACTCTTCACTTTCTCTCACTCACTTGGTTCTCACACACAAGTCTTATTTCTCTGCCTCGAATGAAATCTTCCGATTGATGAGCTTACATAAGGAGGCCTGCAACCCGTCAAGCAACTAACAATGCAGCCAAGACCCGCCGTGGCCGGCTCCGCCAACTGCCGTCTTCACAAGCTCACAGCGTTTGCTTCCTTTCAAGGCTTGATTGACGATGTACATGGCCAATCTCGCCCAGCTTCTTCCTCTCACCTCCTGCATCGTGTCACCCTCGTGATCTGCGGCGAGTCCTGCCCAGTCATTTCGAGACATCTGACATGCTGCCTTACACGGTAGCATGTTCCCGACTCACTGGGTCATGGCAATCATCGCCTGGACTCGGCTCAGTCTCGCTGTCCTCTCAGTGTCGTTCCCCAAAGTCTCACTCTCATTGAGCAGTGAGCTTTCCTATGAGTGTGAGTGAGTGAGAGAGAGACAAGTGAGACGCAAGGTGAGGGACCCTGGCCATGATCGACTGAAAAAGTCGAAACTCACTTTCGGCCCGTTTCCTCGCAGCTGCCCCGTCAATACCTTAATGTGCCCACGCTCCTCCCCTGCTCACCTCTCCACGTTGGATCCGCAACTTCTCGTACTGGCTGCTCTCATTCGCTGCGCATTCACCACTTCATCTCCAACGCTATTTCTCTCGCTGCTATTCTGTACAAAATTTCCACCTTCATCGTCAGCTGCGACATGAAAGTTTTTGTTCATCTTCATTTTTGTATAATGAACCATGATACTTTTAATTTTCATTCACGATGGCATCACGGCATGATCGAAATTGACACATTCGCTCAAGTGGAATTACTAGCAAACCACTCAAAAGTGTTTGCTGCAAGCATAATCCGTCACCAGATCCCCGAATCGCCAAAAGACGTCAGTGGCTTTATTCGGAATTCACCGACCATTTTTTCATTCGGCCGCCCTCACACCATCTCGACGCTCGCCGTCTCCGCGTCTCCACCCCTCTACCGGCGCCCGTTGTTGCCCGCCCCTACGCAGTGTGTTCGCCGCCATGGACTTGACTGTATTCGAACGGGTACAGTACTCTGCTATGTGGACTTTTCTGCATTCAATATCTAGGTACTCCGTATCGTGCGTGTCCATCCCGTCGGTTCGGGTGACAGCTGCCATTACAGCACTGACTTCCGTACGAAAGTCTCGTAAGATCACGACTACTGTCGACAATGACTCTCATCCCAGCCCAACGTCTCCATCCGGCCCGATGCCTGTCAAGTCTTGTCAGATAGGCCGTGTTCCATAATCTCGCTCTTTTAAGCGCCTCATCCCCAGTCGCCCACATTCCCGCTACCTCTCTCGGCGCTTCTTCGTTGTCTTTGCCCCGGGCTCCATCCCGGCTTCGGCCAACAATCCTGGCGCAAAACGCCGCAAACCCACGACGACTTCACTTGAGCCGCCCATGCTGCAACACCCTTAACGCCTCCTCGCAATCGATTTACAGACGTCGTTCGATGGACTAGCCTTTGTAGGCACTTCTCGTGTTCTCAACAACCTCTCAACGTACATCACCAGCACCTCTCATCCCATCATCACCCGTTAGCCAACGACCTAACGCAAAGCACAGCGCGCCGCAACCTTCGCAGGCCGCTTGGCAACGAGAATGGGCTCCGTCTCGGACCTGAGACGCCTCATTTGCGGGCGCTCGCGCAGTTCTCGCTTGCGAATATACCAGTAGTCCCACCAAAGGGCCGATATCTCCAGAAACGCGGGGTTCTTTCTCTCCGCCAACGCGCCTTTGCTGGAGAATCCTCGCGTATCGAACTATCAATGGCCATCCCTAGCTCGCCCGCAGTCGAGCGCCGACGCCTCCTCGGTTTGACGGGGCTTTCCCGCTCGAAACACCATACAAAGTTTGAAATGGCTCCAACGTCTGCCGGAAAATGCGGCAACAGAGAAGCGTCCAACTTTCAATCCAGCTAAAGCGCACTTGAGATAGTAAGTTTACGACCTCGCCTACCGTGACGTGGGAGAGTGTGGGAAGCTCAAGATGCATTCACGGGCATGGACCAACAGCAGAGCCGCTGCCGTTACTGCTCTTCCAATGAAGAGGATCGCCACCGTGCCGGCTACGCGGCCTCGAATGATAGCCGGTATCGCTATGCTCACATGATCAAATCGAGGGGCTACAGGCTGGCCAGGCACCGGCCTCAGCGTTCCCGGGACTTTGGCCTGCTGCGGGCAGTGAGGCCAGACCGGTCTCTTTCCGGGGAACCACCGCGGGGGCCGATGGGTCGTCCCCGTGTCTCTGACGGCCCAGTGGCTACAGAAACGGCGGGCTGGGTACGGGGTTGGTGATCTGACCGATCTCTGACCTAGTTTCCACGTACCCCTCAACTGCGCATCACGAGACAACGCGGAGTCTGGAGAAGCCTGCTTACTCCAGAATCCAGAATGCAACGAGCGCCCACACATGCCACGCGCGGACCTGTAGGGAACCCGAGCTGGAGCCTCCATCGGTCAAAAGCCATGTTGTGTGAGGGTCGAGATCTGGCAATCGGCCCGTTACATAAATCCCCAACAAGGTGCATAATTCTGATAACCACCGTCTTGGTAACGCGCAACCTTATCGTTGAGAATCAGGGGCCTCGAATATTTTGGTCTGATTTGATGCCAGATTTGAGGATAGAGCTGATCGCTAGGGAAAAACAAGGTCGAATGCTCAAAACCTCGTCGTTTTTGATAAAGTCATCAAAAGCTTGGCCCTGACCTACTTAGACTTGGAAGTCTTGAGAATGCCAAGTGGCACACAACAGCGAGTCTCGGTACTCAGCTGGGGAGAAAGCAAGCTGCCAGAGGAACGAACACAAGCTGTGTAAAAAGTGGTTCAAAGTGGCATTAACAAGCTCTCCAACTGATTTATTCCCAGCCACGGAACCGGACGAGAATGATGAGGCACGCCCAATGCCACGACCCCTTCCATCAATCACGAACCCAAAGCTCAGCAAGTCCACTGCGTGATCGTCAGTCTTTACAAATCAAGCCATATAAGTACGCAAACTTACCTCCGCACCACCAGGAGCCACATACGACGTGAATCCCGGCTGGTAGATCTACAAGTGTCCACGTCAGCAAACCATAACACAGCACTCCGCCACAGGGACGCTCACATTGACAGTGTACCCGGGGTCGGTATCCTTAAAGGCACCAGGAATACTCAGAGTCGGCACAAACGAGCTCGCGGACGCGGTCGAGCCCGTGACGTTGATCTGCGCGCACGAGATGTAGAACTGCGGGATGCCGGCCGGGTAGGGGTTGTGGATGCCCAGCTGGTGGACGCGCAGGAGGTACTCGCCGTTGGGGAGGCACGTCGGGATCTTGTACTCGTAGGTTTCTAGGCACCCGGGATCAGTTTTGATGTCTTTCTCTCCTTGAAAGATAAAGTGAGCATCGTACGTCTCATTGGCCAAGTTGCCTGGCCGTTGCTAAAGGTCGGGAGGAAGTCTTTGAACTTGGCCCATTTTCCGGATCCGTCGTAGTCTTGGACGTGAGAGGGCGCTTTGGACAGGAAGCTAGATGTCCATCAGTGAAAGCTACTGTGAATTGGCCGAGTAAGTACTCACAGCGAGATGGGACCCTGGTGGTAGACGGCCGTGTCGAGGGTGAAGGTGAAGGCGTCGCCGGGCTTCACGTTGACCACCGTAGTCTGGGCGCCGCTGGCACCGCCGACGTTGCATCGCAAGTCGTTCGAGGCGAGGTCTGTTGAGCGGATTAGTTTCTTCTGTCCATTCCAGAAACACGCGAGTCGAATGGTGAGGGCACTTACCAGTCACGGGAGAGTTGTAGTTGGTGTTCTTCCGGATGTGCTGGAAGACGTCGTACTTTGTCGACCCCACGGATAGCTGCTGGAAGATGTAGTGTCCAGAGACTTCCGATACGGCTGCCGAGAGGACAGCGGCGGCGGTGAAGAACTTCATGGCGGCGGGTCCGTTAGGTTGCGTCTTGTCAGAGAACACGGGCGTATACTTGGAGCAGGAGCTGACTCGAAAGAAGGATGGAGAGGATAAGGAAACTACATCTACAGGCTCTTGGCTCTGTGCTCATCATTTAAAAGGGATACTGGACGCTCTGCCATTTTCCTTCGCCAGGTCGTAGTGAAACGGCTCGGAGGTCCTGCTTCCCTGATGCTACTCCGGAGAGTAGTCGCGATTGGGAAGGGTGTCAATCAACGTTGGTAATCAACCAGACCCTCTACGCGGTAACGATGAGAGGTGGGATTACTTCGGCTGTTGACGGGTTTCCGGTACATGGCCCCGAGCATGGTGTATCGCGTGATGGGCGGTTTGCTCTGACTACCAGGAGACGGTACCAGACGCTGAGTTGACCTGGTTGTGTCCAATATGCGTCGGCCAATGCTAAGCGGTGTTGTCAGACCACGAGACTTGTTTTTGAACGGTAACAGCTCAGTAGTCGAGGATGTGCTTTGCGTGTCCAACTACTTCTTACACAGCCCCCAGAGCTACCTTTAGATGGCGGCTACCTCCCTTGGACAAGATCTTCCAGACGATTTGACGTGCTTCAACAATGACACGTCTTGGCTCACCATCAAAACCATCTGCAAAGTTCCACGCTCCATCAATGATTCCTCCTACACATGAGGGAGAACTCGCAGAGAACCACAGCTCAAGCACAGGGTGGTGTTGGATCTTGACAACGGTGATGAAAGTGATGTAGCCACCGGCAGAAGTCGTGCATGGCACGTGAGCAGTCCATTTGCCGGAGATGGAAATGCACCCCGGACTCTGTAATTTACTTAAATTAAGCTTGTATGGGATAGCATTTTAGCCGTGTAGATCACTTGGCATCCGTCGGCCTCGGCTGAGCTCAACGTCGCCAGGAAGCATTGTCTATAGTAGTTTGATGTCACCACTACAACGGGCCGTAAAATGAGGAAAGTGATTCTGAAGAAAATTAAGGACACTGAGACTCAGCATATTCCCCTCATGCCTCTGCAGCCAGTGGTCCAAGTGCCGGTGGCTAGAGCCATGGGCAGTGGTAATATGGATTCACAACACATGGCGCCGTTACTGCCTTGCCGCCATAGTTGCGTATCTCATGATATCGATTGTAAAAAAGTCTACAGCCAGTCCTGGAGTATCTGTCTTGAGAAGCAGTACTCTGAGTGAGTGATTTATATCAACATCAAACTGCTTTTTGAAGCTATCCGGGATCGTGAAACGGAGTCTCGCGGAGCCACAGCCTCCGGGCTCTAAACGGTACATTCTCTTTCCCTCCGATCACTGATGAATTAATCTTCTGCCACTTAATAGTAATCAATCCAATCTATCAAAGCCACTTCCATTCAAATTATAACATTGATACAACAAAAGAGTATGGGGGTGGCCTCAGAGCGAGTATGATAATTTGATCCCGGGACTGACTCGTCTCATGAGAATTAGGACTGCACATAGAAGACGGACAGGTTCATAACAAGTCGTTTGCCGCACGATCAACGACTTTCCATAAGACTAAAGTATCTCAGGAGCACGTCCGGTCTCCCCGCCCGGAGCGAGAAAGTGGATCGATCCCCGGCCCGCCCGGGAAGTGGAATATGGCCACACCCTTGCTCTTCGGGATCAGAGCTTCCGCAAGCCCCGCCGATAAGGCGAACTGTACCCATGTTCACGCCGAGTAGTATCGCGGGCTTTGCATTTGACCGCTTTATTAGAGTTTTGATTCCGGGTCGGAGAAATAACAAAAGTCTCGTACGGATAGTCTACTGATGCGGTCGAGTAGTGTATTTGAACAGCTGCCGTGACCTTAATTGATGTCGGCCCGATACTTGATGATGTCAACAAACAACGAATTTCGTGATTAGATATGGAAAATTGTGAATAAGAGGCAATAAGAGTTGTGCTTGATGTTTTGCGCTGTGATCTATAGACAGACGGGTGTCTGCCAATCCACTTGGTTTGGGTTTACCGCAATAAGCGCTTTAGAAACACCCTTTGAATGATGTTTCTTTTCAATCTTTTCTCCGCTTTGATGAGATGGGTGATTCAACCTTTAGGGCGCCGAAATATTGAGAGCAAACCGGTCGGATGGACACGCAAGACTTGGAACTCTTGCAGCAGATCAGGTTCTCTCGTGTAAGCGACACAGAATCAATCTCACCATTAACGCAGGTCACCGCAATGTAAGAAGACTCTGGACCAAGCGTCCTACAGAGCAGGAAGCCAAGATCAAAGGACTGAGTTCTCATGTGACGCGGTAGAATTCACCGGCTATATCCAGCCCCGTAACATCGTCACATCTCGGCAATCTAATCTCAACACCCCTTTATGTGTATTAGGCAAGTAGCGGACGAAGCTGTGGGCATCGTAGTCTAAGCTGCTCGATGGGTCTCAGGGGCAGTTCGTATGAGACATGTTGTAAATCGGTTTCTCGATGACTTTAACTATCGAGCATCGTCCTGGCGGCTGACAGCCTTGAGCTGCTATTGAAGTGTTTCCGGAACCCCTTACCTTTCAGTAACTTCCAGGATCATTTACCTTGGGTCTCAAAATGAAGGCGCTCATCGCAATCCTTACGACGTTTGTCGCCCTGAGCGACCTCGTCTCTGCTCACTGTGAGAAGCCCCAAGAAGTGCAAACCGTCCCATCCCGGACTGACAGTGCTCCCCAACTAGACCGCTTCACGAGCCTCGTAGTCGGGGGCGTCAACACGGGTGAATACGTCCACGTCCGGCGCAACACAAACTACAACAGCCCCGTCACAGACGTCCTCAGCAAAGACATCGTCTGCAATGCTGGCGGCCTCTCCTCCGGTCCGGCGACGCAGATCGCCACCGTCGCGGCCGGCTCGACCGTAAATCTTTCTCTTCCTCCTCCTCCTTCTTCTCACGTCTTCACGCCCCCCTTATCCGCCTCTCTATTCCTCACCCCCTCCCCGTTTCCGTGTCTCCATGCTCGAGATACCTTACACCCGAAGATCCGCGAGTCGACACGACTCGAGAAGACTCACTAACCAACGCACTCTCTGCAGGTCGGTTTCGCAATGGACCAAGCAATCTACCATGACGGGCCTGTCATCGTCTGGCTCTCACCCGCCGCGGGGTCCAACGTCACAACCTACGACGGCAGCGGTCCCTGGGCAAAGATCTGGGAACTAGGCGCACAAACAGGCAACGGGCAGATCAAGTTCCCCGCCTCGAACCAGGCGGGCTTCAACTTTCAAATCCCTTCATGCACACGTACGTCACGATGTTTCCTTTCTGTCGAATGGTCAAGTGGTCGACTTACTCGTGCAACATGATGCTTGCTGCTTCCCCGGTGTGCCCCCTTATCCGGGACTATTCAGCCGTGATCACCGTTGATTTCCACGGAGGGGGCATTCAACGCCCGCCCGTGTGTGTGATATATGTATGGCTGGGCCGCGGAGTACTGACGGAGTCTAGCCCCGGGAGAGTACCTCCTCCGCATCGAGCAGATTGGACTACACTCCGCCAGCGCCAAGGCCGGAGCCCAGTTCTACATCTCATGCGCCCAGATCAAGGTGACGGGATCAGGGAGCGGCACTTCGTTCTCGCCTACTGTCAGATTTCCGTGAGTTGTCTCCTTAGCTTCCATGTCATTCACAGATATGTCCAGCCTTGTTCCCATGTTCAGTGCTCCCCAATTCCATCGCCTCCCCACACCAAAGACAACTCCACCTACAGGGCAGGGCGGCCGGCGGGCGGACGGCGCGCGGCTCGTTCTCGTTAAAGTAGAAAAAAAAATATGTCGCAATGGAACCTTGATAGGATTTGGCAGGTGTGTTAATCTCCGCGTATCACCTAGGGGCGCATACACTGGCGACGAGCCCGGTATCTTGATCAACATTTACTACCCTGTGGTGAGTTCTCTCGCGCGCACACCTTTCCGCTCCCATGCGGAAAAAAAAAGTGAAGTCATCGTGAGCGAGTCGTGCTGATGTCTTGGCGGGGTCGAAAAATAGCCAACAACCTACACCGTACCGGGAGGACCTGTGGCAAAGTGTTGATCCAGGCCCTTCGTTCGTGTCATTTCATGGCGAGGGTGACGCAAAAAAAGACATTTTCCTTCACGATAGCCATGGTTGTTGGGTATTAGGGTTTCCGCGGTTTCCACGGCGCGGGCAGCATGCGTGGCTGGTTGGCTGGCCGTGCCGCTTTGTGTAGCCTGTAAGTGAGGTGGATTAAGATGAATACGAGAAGATCCAAAACAGAGGCAATATTGGATTTGATTGAAATTTTTTCATTTGTTTGATTCATCTACCAAAAAGCTTCGTGAAATACACGAACTTGGCGGAGGTATTGGGCATGGCTGCCGTGTCGAGACTCTCGTGTCTTAACAAAAATTATCTTAGAAAAAGAAATGGGTACTGAATAAAACACCAGACTCCATTCGCAAAAAAATCCCACAAAGACTCGCTCGTTCGATCCTGAAGCCATCCATAGAAACAGGGAAATACCCCCCCACTCTAGAAAGCCCTATCAAGATCGTCAAAAGACAATGAAGAAAAAATGAGACAATAGAGCTCCCACAAGTCGTTATCCCCGCAATCACCGGCTCCCAACAACACCCGGTCTCAAATCCCGATCCCGACGATCCATTCCCCCCCTCTTCCGCAGCCCGCTGGATTCGCGATCAATAGGGGCTCCACAACTTATCGGGGCTCCCGGGATAGTCGAGATATGACTCGGGGACGGGACTCGAGGTCGAGACGGGAGGAGGGACGATGCGGTATGCGTCGAGCGCAGACATGTCCAATGCCAAGCTCCCGGCCCCGTTGTTGGCGTTGGTGTTGTTCATCAAGTCCCACGCCGGAATCTGCCCCGCAACAGCATTAGGCATCTGCTGGCTCGCGCGGAGCCTGTAGCACTCGTTGGCCAGGAGTCTGTAAGCACAGCAGAGCGCGTCGTTCTTCTGACTCATGTCCTGGATCTGGGCCTGGAGCTCCTCGAGACGGGACTCCTTGCGCTTTCGGTAGGCGCGCTGGTTGGCGCGGTTCTGGGCGCGGCGCTTCTATACGGGAAGAAAACGTGGTCAGTTTCTTTTGCCTTATTTGCATTCTTTCGGATGCGGCTCGCGGGGGATGAAGACCGGGGAGCCGATGCTCGCCAAAAAACGGGGCTCATGCCACGGACTCGGGGAGGAAATTGCAGACTGGGAAGCCGGGGAGAACAACTTACTGATAGCACTGACTCGCTGCAGTTCTTATATCTGTTGCCCCGTCTTCCTTTCTGGAGCTTTGAAGACTCTTCGGATCCGCTGGTGGGGGAGTGTGCGTCATCGTGCGAGTCTTCTGCCTTGCTGTGATCGATGCTGGAGGTCGGGCTGTGAGGGCTAGACCATAGTGACGTCGGAGTGCAGTAGCCGTTCTCGTTGGAGTTCTGTTCGAGTTTGTGAGTTTCAAGAGTCTCATCTGTGTTGTCTGGCAGGCTGTAGACATACGATGCGTGAGGCGAACTGCGCGGCGATGATGTCGTAGGGGGTTGTGCCAGCCATTGAGGAGAAGTCGACGGGCATGGCGTATGGCGGGAGTTCTGGTGATGTGCTGTCCATTGCGTAGATGTGTGTTTAGGATACTCTTCACGATTTCGTTGTTGACGATGATTCACAGTAGATGAGATGGTTCGTGAGATTGGTGTGGCGATACAAGGATCACGGTGACGTTGATGGATGGCGAACTAGTGTGAGAACTGAGAATAGTGTTGTAGATGGATCTGTGGGATGAAGAGGCGAAGAGGGAGACGTGGAGGTGGAGGGCAGTAGCGTGATCGAGGAGGCGAGGGTGGGCAAGGGCAACTTATATATCCTTAGTCTTTGGTGTGAGAGCGAAGCATCGCCAAAAGATCTCCGAAGACGGCACCAGAAAGAGATGTGATGATTCTGCAATGACCAGAAACAGGACAGGAGACAGGGGAAGGTGTGTGTGTGTGTGTGTGTGTGTGTGTGTGTGTGTGTGTGTGTGTGTGTGTGTGTGTGTGTGTGGAAGCAGACACTCTTGTAGACAACATGGTACGTACATGGAGAGCCGATGGAACCATGGGGAAACGAGAGCGCGAGAACCCTGGGCTGGAACCAATGACGATGTGTGTTAATGTCAACGCTGGCCCGGCACGGGTGGACGAAGACATGAGAGCGAGTACCTGCATATGGAGTCAGTTGGTCGTCCATCCCAGTCCGTCGCATCTGGAATTCGGTATTCGGTGCCGCGCCGGTCTACAGTGTACGTATCTGGAGAGAAGGGGGAGGGGTGTGTGAACAGTGCAAGGCTTGGTCAACAATGAGACCAAAGAGCTATGGTGGGCCACCGTCCGTGTGTACATGAAGGGTGAGTGGATGGCTAGTGAGGATGAGGATGGGTACGTTCTCGGTGTGTGAGTCTATGAGAAGTAAGAGATACTTTGAGACTGTAGGAAAAGACATGCTTGTCTACAGTCTCTATACCAAGTGCCAGTCCAGAATACTTCGACGCATATATCGGAACTCTGAAGAAGCAGTCCAATGACAACCACTGATGTAGGGTAACATCACAATATTCACGCGTTGTTTCGAAGCCAGGACTGAGCAAATAGAGGGCCAGAGAGGACTCTCTCTCAAGTAGCGGATTCGGGTTGTGACCCATTCGATCCCGGGACGCCGGAGACGAATCGCGTGTTTTGCAGAAGTCGAGGACCGAAGACGAGCGGAGACGTCCCGGGAATAGCAGAAGGGGAGGTGAGCCACTGAGCCCCGTCACAAGTTGAGAGAGAGGGCCTCTCACAGAGAACCTCTAGTGAGACAAAGATGTGGGTGGGTGAGAGGAAATGTGAGTGACTGAATCAGTAGGCGCGCTATTTTCCCTGCTGGCTGCGGGTTCGATCGGTTTGGTTTCCCAGCAATCATTGCGGGAGCTAATCCTGATCCAGTCTAGCTTTGGCACCGGCTCAGAACACCTTATTTTCTGTCAAATGTCTTGTCTCCGTGGACCGCGGACCGTGGTGTACGGAGCATGCAGAAGAGTGTGAGAGGTAGGTGGGAGTGGTGTGTACCCGTAAAACGCGAGCTCGGCCTCATCCGTTATGATATCATTTCGTCCCTCAACGACAAGGATGACATATGTATGAGCGTTTCTGGGGTCTGTATCTCTGTGAGATGCAGCTGTGCTTCACTCTGCGCGAGTTTGCCAAGGAGGTCTGGACTTGGACTGGCATGTGTTCGCTGAGGGGCTCAACCGCCCAGCTCAGTCTGAAGCTCCGAGTCGAGGAGGGCAACGATGAGACTCACCGGTACCAAAGTGTCAGTTAAGCTCGGCAGAGCCACAAAAATAAACCAGCCCTGCAGAGTCTCAGACTCACACTGCGTATCCATAGAGAGTAGAGAGTAGAGACTCGCCATTCCGTGATCTTCGCGCGGTGCTCCACGGATTTACCACTCTTTGCGTGGGTCAGACGGTTGGTTGTCTCCCGTGATATTTTCTCACTTCATTTCCACTCCGTTTTCTAGACTGAGTAGATTCTGTGTTACCATGGGACTTTGCCCGGCATTTCGGCGTCTCGCAAAGTGGGCGGCCCCTTTTTACCACGCTCCCCATTGAAAATGAAAATTCAGACAAGTTTTTTTTAATTGCTCGTTCCCCATCTCGAAAAACCCTCCAGCTTCAGCTGCTTCAGCTGAGAATAATTCGGATGGGACGGTCTTTCCCCAATGCGAATGCCCTCACAACGACATCATGGGACCATGGGCAGTGATCAGATCGGCAGAAACTCAAAAAAAAGCCTGGACCTGTCTTCCCGTGTGGCTGCCTCCCTCTCCAAAAACCTTCGAACCGTTAATTCCGCCACGCATTGAAAGATTGTTGACTGTTGCTGTGTCCGTACTGTTCTGGTGCCTCACAGAGCTAACCGGTGCCCTTTCGGCTCCGACAGAGCTGCATTGACCAATTCTATAGCCGCCATCGGGCGACGGGATGTGATGCTGGGACCGGGATGTGAACACTACTTACCCGAAAAGGGAACAAAACAATTCTCCCTTTAGGACGCCCAGTCCAGCCCTAGCAAAATCGTCCAGCCCTTTTTTGTGTCTTTTTAGTTCTTCCCATCGGAACCACGACCTTGCGGTACAGGGGTGCCGACGCCTGACTCGGGTACGTCGGACTCGCGTCGGTGGCGTGTCGGTGGTCGGCTTCAGCTTGCGCCGGGGGTGACAGTGAAGACTGGGCAAGCACGGCAAGGTATCGAGGCTTCAAGTGACAAGCGATAATTGGGTAGCATTCCAGGAGAGCCGTCAGTTTCATTCCCGGTAGTTCCCATGGCGTAAAGTGGGATATGGAGACAACTTGAACAGGGTGGACTCGCGTAAAAGGCTGCCCGTTGATCATCCACGCCCGTACGAATAGCTGGCAGTCTCGCAGAGACCTGAACGGCAGTGGTACATGATATCCCTGAATAAGCTTATCCCACGGAGCGTATCGCTGCAAATCCCTCTGGTCTCTGTTGCTTACCTTCTGTTCATCGTGCCCTCTCCTTCTGAAGCTTGACGCCAGAAGCAGATGGGAGAGCCACCCCCTTCTCCCCCTTCACCCCCCACCACCATCACCCACCAGACCAACGGTCCATCGATGCACAGAAGGCTTGGCGTTTTCTTCCGATGCTTCGATGCCCTTTCCACCCGGTATCCGTCCCTAATCACAACGTGAACTCGTGATGGTCAGTGTGGGTCGAATTGGCGATATGCTGCATGCGGTAAACTGCATCTCAAGTTTGTTGATCACTATTGTTGGAATCTATACATCACTTCTGACGGCCTTGCTCACTCGAGAAGCAATCGCATCTATCTCGGGATTACACATCGCTTGTATGCCCAACATCCCCATAGAACGCTACAGCATGTGAAAGACACTAGGCGTGAGCTCGTTCGGCACCGATCCTCGGAGAGCTTTGGTGAACGAAGCACACTACCCTTAGTTGCTGACGTCGTCGAACCCAGGAAATCCCTCCCTCCCCGCTCGGTCGCCGTTTGGGAGCACGGGTCCCGCCGTCAAGTTTTCAGTCGGGCCAGCTATGAATATCTTACCGTAGACACAGATTCCATGCTCTATGGCTGGTCCCCGAAAATTGACGTGTCTTAATCCCGATTTACCCGCCCAGCGAAGCAGGACAGAAACTCTATCCTGAGCCGTTGGAACCGGGGGGCGGCTTACTGGAGCCAGTGCATGGCTAGGACACCACCACATCAGGAATCCGGCACAACACAAGGGCGCAAGTGCGCCGCAGTAGCGCCTATTTGGCTGATGCGACGTGAAGGTCCTGGACCATGTCAACTGTGACGATTCCGACTCTCATCATTGCAATGCAGGTTGCATAGAGAGGGAGAGATTTTCCCCCGCCATTGTCGACCCTCACCCTGCCCCGGCGGAATGGCCGAGAAGAAGAGCGGGGACAAGGCCGATTCGCGACCCACAATCTCATCGGCACCGTCCCGGCGAAGCGGAGGCAAGGCGGAGTCCCGCACCGGGAGCCCCTGCACATCCGCCGAAGATATCCTCCCTACAACTGACTCTGGTCCACGCATACATGCGTATTCAAAAATACGCCACAAAGTGCGACTGAGTGACGCGAGGGCGAAGCGAGGAAGTCCTTCTTTGCAGATGGCATTTGACTTTTCGGGCGCCGTCAGAAATATCAGACCAAAAGTGTGACTTTCAGGCTACCCTTCTCTCGGCGAGGAGACACTGTTTATAGCAAGCTGACAAAGCCGGCATATCCCAGCCTCAAGTCTCGAACCCGCCACACCGCAAGTGCTTCTCTTCCCATCCCTGCCTACCCTTTTCGCGACGCGAGATTCTCCCCGAGGCGCAAGCCAAGCCACACACGTCGAGCGGTTTGAACGTTTCTTGAACCCTGAATTCTGGGGTTCACGCAGCCCCCTGGTGCACCTAATCTCGTTGGCCCGTTTGAAGTCATTTTTCGTCCCAAGCTGAGAGGCTGAAGTGAACGTTCAATACGAGGAAGCTCGAACCAACAAAGTGCGTCTGGACCTCTGGTTTCCGCGGGTGCTGGGTATGGTACCCTTTTCGGCCAACGACGTCGATTCACCGTCGGGTAGAGGGCAGGCATACCGAGATCGTTATGCTGTAGCCTAATATTTCAGAGTCAGACTCAGACAGCTACTGCGTCTCTACCGAATAAGTGATTATTCTTCATCCTAGCTTTCTACTTTCAGAACACATTTTGCTTCTGGTTGTTGCCTAGGTGTTCGTCATCACGGCCGCCGTCCCAGATACGAGTGACGACTTACGCCGCGCTGCCGTCTCAAGAAGGGCGTCGTCATCTGCCGCCTCATAGCCTCCGTACGCCACACATGTCTGGAAGAGGTCTGGACTATGATCGTCTAGCCTAGATCGTCGGCTCTAGTCCCTGACCTAATGATTTTCTGGGGTATTTCGATTGTTCGTGGGTGTACTTGTTTTACCTGACGAAGATCAAGAGTTGATAGGAATCTATTTTAAGATTTCGTGAAAGGGACATCACGACTCCGCTTTCGTAGTGTTGAGGTCAGGTCCCATACAAGGTTCTCTATACCGTAAGTCGATGGCAACAAAAGATGCCGACACGGAGCCTGTCGCTCCTGGCCATGAAGGACAGATGTGAACGACACAGATAAGCCTTGGTGACTATTATTGTCTAAGCTCCGTTTCTCCGTGCCGATGAGCACCTGAAGTGATCCGTCAAGGTTGACGATGTTTCTACTCTACCGGAGTCCCTGACCAAAGCCATCAAGCTCTCCCAGTCCTCGCCGCCAACAAGGGACCCAAGCTCAGAACAGCTTGCCTCATACTCTATAGCTGAGCAGACCACAGAATCTTCCGTCGGGGTAAGCAACGGCGTAAACGTTGGCCCAGTGGGTTAACGTGTACGACAGCGCTTACGGAGTTCACATCTAAAAGACTGGCCTGCCCGACCGTAGTCCCTTGTTACAGCCGATGAGTGAACATACAATCATATAATTTGCCATTTTGCCATTTGGAACCTTTTTACATTGGTGACGAGTTGCTTTCGTTTTGCTGGGTGGTTTGTTCAAGGCAATTTGCTTATTTGCGTAGGCGTGGTGAGGATGTTCGTGGGATGGGGGATGAGAGGGATGATGGTTATGCAATGAGGGTTCGAGTCTGCTTTTTAACACACTTTTGTCGTTCAGTTCCGTCAAGAAAGATGTAAAACGTTATGCTTGTTTCTTCGGATAAGAAGTTTGGTATTCATAACATGTAAGAAATACGAGCCAACCACTCGTTCTGTTACAACAAGGGCACGTTTGTTTTATGATCTACGTCGTACCCAACAGGACGAGCAGACATTGTCAGTGACTCTTAACTCCATTGCTAAACGACACTACGGATCCCTTTGAATGACCGGAAGAGAAGACCCCCACTAAATTCGATCCCCAAACCAACGTTATCAAATCACCAGTCACACACGCCTATTTTCACCTAGCCTGCCGTTTTTTGACCCATCTCCCATCCCTCGTACGCCATTAGATAAATCAAGAGCTGTTGGCAAAGAACCTTGTAATCTTCTGTGTACCGCCCTGTTTCGACTTCACAGGACTCTTACTCCCATTACTCGTTGGGTTGATCCTGCTCTGCCGTC